CAACCTAGGTATATTCCCTGATCATACCTTTTGGTGTACAGAACAATACTCCAATCAACTGAGCCACACCAGCCTGGGTAAGATTTATGGGCGTTTTGAGTTCTGTTTTTGCATAAGGTGTAGAATCTAGAAACATTTAAAATAACAGCAAAGTCATGAAATACTTAGGTAGAAATGTAACAAAATATGTGCAAGATTTGTCTGCTGACAACTATAGAACACTGGTGAGAGAAAGCAGAGAAGAAATGAATACATGAAGAGCTAAGTTGTGTGCACGGATTGGAAGACTCAGTGGTGTCAAGATGTCTAGTCTCCCCCTCCCACCAAACTGCGCTGAAGACCCAATAATCCCAAACAAAAATCCAGCAGGGTCTCTTTTCAGTGTGTTTGTGTTGGGAGGGAGGAGGTTTGAGGAAGAAATTGACAAGCTGGTTCTAAAATTTACATGGCAAGGCAATGTATAGGACATTCAAAATCATTTTGAAAAAGAACAATGTAGTTGGATTACCCACAACACAAGATTTAAAGATTTGTTATAAAACTACGGTGAGTAGTGCAGATGGTGATATATTAGTGATAGACACATAGATCAATGGAACAGATATACACACCAGTCGATCTGTGACAAAGATACTAAGACAATTCGAGGGAGAAAATATAACCTACCTTCTCAACAAATGATGCTGGTAAATTGGATATCTATAGGCAAAACAAACAAACGAACTAAAAAACAACAACAACAGCAAATCGTATTTTGTATCACATGCAAATTAACTTGAAATGGTTCACTGACCAAAATATAAAACCTAAAACTATAACTTCTAACTGAAAACAGGAGAAAATGTGACTTTTAGGTAGGAAAAATTTTCTTAGTAGGACACAAAAAGCACAAATTCTAAACAAACAAAAAAAAATCAATAAATTAGACTTTATCAACATTAAATTTTCTACCCTTTGGAAGTGATCCAACAAGCTAGAGGCTGGAAAAATACTGGCAAACCACAAATCTGATAAATGATTTATATACAGAATATATAAAAATTTTCACAACTTAAAAATTTGAATTAATAGTTCACCAAAGGAGATATACACAATGAAAGATGTTCAACATCATTAGGCATTAGGAAAATACAGATTAAAACCATGATATCAACATAAATCTATTAAAATGACTAAAAAAGCACCCTGACAATATCAAGTCTTTTTTTAAAATATATTTTATTAATTTTTTACAGAGAGGAAGGAGAGGGATAGAGAGCTAGAAACATAGATGGGAGAGAAACATCGTCCAGCTGCCTCCTGCTCATCCCTACCAGGGATGTGCCCACAACCTATGTACATGCCCTTGACCGGAATCGAACCTGGGACCTTTCACTCCACAGGCCGACGCTCTATCCACTGAGTCAAACTGGTTTCAGCAACAATGTCAAGTCTTGACCAGGATGCAAAAATGGTACAACCACTTTGCAAAAATAATGCAATGCTTCCATAAAGTTAAACACACACTCACCACATGACCTAGCACTCCCACTGCCAGGATTTTATCTGAGGGAAATGAAAACAAATATCCACATTGAATACCTATACTAATGAAAGAGAAAGATGCAAATTGGCCATACCTCTGCTATGCCCACCAGCCAGTCAGGAGTGAGTATGCAAATTAAACTGAAAGATGGTGGCAGCCCCCCCCCCCCCAGCTGCTCCCAGCCTGTGGGAGTCTGAGAAGTCAGGCACCAGTGCTTGAGGCTGGCTGTGGCCAGCGAGACCAAGAAGCCACCTACCCCGTGATCCCAGGCCCCAGAAGCCGCCCACCCCATGTCCACCCACTTTATGTCCTAGAGGAGATGGAGAAACCAGATCCCAGTACCTGAGGCTGGCTGCAGCCCAGGAGATGAAGAAGCCACCTGCCCTGTGATCCCAGGCTGCAGCCAGCTAGAGAAGTTGCCCATGCTGCATCCTAGGGAAGACAGAGAAGCTGCCTGCCTGTGGTCCAGGCACCAGCACCTGCTGCTGGCTGTGGCCCAGGGAGATGGAAATGCTGCCCAACCATGGTCCCAGGTGCCAGCACTTGCGACTGCAGCCCAGGTGAAGCCATCTGCCCACCATCCCCTGTGGTTGCAGCCGGCCTGGGCACCTATGGATAACCGGATTCTGGATGCCTGTGGTTGGCTGAAGGAAGGAATCCTGGGTCCTGGGTGCAGGGCCGAGGCAGAGGTGGTTAGGGGCAATCAAGCTAGCAATGGAGTAGTTAGGGATGATCAGGCTGGCAGGCAGAACCAATTATGGGCAATCAGGCTGGCAGGCGAGTGGTTAGGAGCCAGCAGTTCTGGATTGTGAGAGGAATGTCAGATTGCCAGTTATCCCCCAACGGGTCTCAGATTGGAGAGGGTGCAGGCCGGGCTGAGGGACACCCCCCTCCCCAGTGTATGAATTTTGTGCACTGGGCCTCTAGTCCTATATTATAAAAGGCTAATGTGCAAATTTTCCCCTCGGGAGTTCAACTGACTGGGAGTTTGACCGCTTACTATGATGTGCGTTGACCACTAGGGGGTGGCATAGAATGAAGGAAGGCCCCAGTTGGCAGCCAGCAGCTGGAAGCTGGGGGAAGGAAGGCCCCAGCTGGCAGCTGGGGGAATGAAGGCCCCAGCAGGCAGTCAGAAGGCCCTTATCAGCCCTGATCACCAGCCAGGTCCAGGGACCCTACCTGTGCACAAATTTTGTGTGTACATAATGTGCTCAATGGTTTTATTCACAGTTGCTCCAAACTGAAAACAACTCATAAATGTGCTCATAAATGTGCTCAATGGTTTTATTCACAGTTGCTCCAAACTGAAAACAACTCAAATGTTCATCAGCTGGTGAATGGATAAAGCACCTGAGGGTCAGGCACACAGAGATGTTATTCAACAACATAATGAATGAACTCCTGAGAGTGCGATTTTCGTGCATCTTAAATATCTCACCACAAGTGAAAAAGGCTACACTCAAAGGCGACATGCAGTGTCATTTTGTTTGTGTGATATTCTAGCAGGGGCAGGATGCTCTAGGGACAGAAGTCAGATCAGTAGCTACCAGGCCGGATTGGAGAGGAAGGAACTGGCTGAAGGGGGATGAGGGGATGTTTTTTGGCTGACAGACATGCCCTACATTCTGATTATGGGGGTTGATACAAAGATGTATGAGGTTGTCAGAATTCATAGAACTGGACACCCTGATGGGCTGAATTTTTGTGTATTAAGTTATATGCCAATAATGCTGAAAGGCTTTATACAGTGATCTTCATGTGACCTCAGGCCCTCATCCCCTAGACCCTTAGGTCAAGGCTGGGTGGTTGACTCTCTAAGTGAAGGACTACCTTATGTTCACCATTAACTACCCATCTCTACGCACATGCCCTATGCTATCTGCACAGTAAATGTGGGTAAATCAATGAATGAGAACAAATCAGAGTGCTTGCAGGAAACCCAAGTATACCCTGAAGATGGAGTGCAGTACTGGGCTCCCAGTCTCTCCTGCTACCTCCGCCCGCACGACTCAGCTTCCTGCCGCTGGGAGTGCTTTGCCACCCCGACCCCGTCCTGACTCACACAGCTGTCTCGCCTGGATCACCCTTCACAGGATCTGAACTCGTGGAAAAAGCACACCCCACTCCCAGATATCCAGAAAATGTCACCTGCTGTTTTGCCCCCATAGGATGGTAGGGAGTTCAAGGTATGTGTGTGCACACAAAGTACTGGTCATGTGAGCATGTGCCCCCAGGAGGCACCAGCTGTGCTAAGGAGGCCAAACTTGGGCAGGAGAGTCCAGGTGGCAGAGAAAATTCTCCTTCCCACAGGGAGCCCATTGTCTCTTCCCCTGACAACTATATAATGGTACTTGCTAATTGTGCTGAGTGCTTGCTGGGTGTCTTGCTAACTAGGATAACAGTACTAATTAATTGTGTTGAGTGCTTGCTGTGTGTCCCACATAAAAGTACTAGTTAATTGTGTTGAGTGCTTGCTGTGTGTCCTGCTCACTAGGATAATGGTATTAGCTAATTGTGCTGACTGCTTGCTGGGTGTCCTGCTAACTAAGATAATGGTACTAGCTAATTGTGCTGAGTGCTTACTGTGTGTCCTGCTAACTAAGATAATGGTACTAGTAAATTGTGTTGAGTGCTTGCTGTATGTCTTGCTAACTAGAATAACAGTACTAGCTAATTGTGCTGAGTGCTTGCTGTGTGTCCCACTCACCAGGATAACAGTACTAGTTACTTGTGTTGAGTTCTTGAAGTGTGTCCTGCTAACTAGAGTAACAGTACTAGTTAATTGTGTTGCATGTTTGTTGTGTGTCAGGCCCTGTTCTAAAGCACTTTGCCTGTGGAAATCCATGTAACGCTCCCAGTAACCCTGTAGGTCAGTTATTATTCTCATTTTACAGGAATTGAGACAGGGGCTGTGACTGCAGAGGCTGTGACTGCACACACAGGAGGTAAGGAGTGACCTAAAGCCACCAAATCCGGCATCAGCCTGCGTTCTTCACGCTCCACACTGCGGGGTAGCCAGCCAGTGGGAAGGACTAGAGGGTCTGGGGCGGGCCCCGGTTTCTTCCAAGAGGAGACACATCTCCACCCCTGGCAAGGCTGGACCCGGAGGATGCAGGCAGTGACCCTGGAGGAGGGCCTGAACCCGGCTGAGGACGGGACAGCGACCACCGGTGAGGCTCTGCAGCCTCGGACCCCGCCCAGCCCCAGCCATCGGTGACCCTGGCTGGCATAGACGGAGGGCTGGCATAGACAGAGGTCTGCGGAGCAGCTCCTCCTCTCCTCTCCTCTCCTCCTCTACCCGCCACCCCTCCCTGAATCACAAAGCCAGACCCCAGTCCTGACTATTGCTCAACCCCCAGGAGCCAGTTCCTGTGGGCAGCGCCTGACTGCCCGACCCTCTCCTTTCTGCAGTTCAAGGGAAAGACGGGATCTTGCACAAGGCACTCTGCATCCGCCTCTGCCAGGGCAGGCTGCCATGGAGCCCCTCCGGCTGCTCTTCCTGCTCTCCGTCACAGGTAGTCCCCTCCCTGCCCCGCAGAAGGCTGCTTTCCTTCCCCTGCCTTGAGTACCTGGCGGAAGGCAGGCGGGGGGGGGGGGGGGGGGCGGCGGGGAAGTGGGGCAGGGCAGGGGAGCATTGGGGCCCAAGGAGGTGCAAGTCCCCTCTCTTCCCGCCACCCCACACCCTCTTCCTCCCCCACCCTCCCTCCTGGGATCAGGGCCGCAGTCAGTCAATGCAGGCGCAGGTGTGAAGGCTGGCGGGTCCTGGCCGGTGGGAGAGGAAGGAGTTCTGATGGCGGCATCTCCAGCACTAGCTAGTGGCTGGGGAAGTTCGGGGGCACTGGCAAAAGCCCCGAAATGTATGATTCATTTCAGCATATGACTAGCCTCAGAGGAGTGGCCGGGGGAGGGAGGAAAGAACCTAGGGCTGAGATTCGTGTCCTTTGGGTGTCCCCTCCCAGGCTCAGAAGGTCCTTTCGTCCTCACCCTGGTGGGAGGTGAGGGGGCCCAATATTCCTGTCTGTGAGCTGGGTTCTGGCCCACAACTGCCTTTCCTCCTTGGGGGAAAGGTGCCTCTCCCTTCCCTCCCCCCCAGAACAACAGGCAAACCCGGGTGGGGAGACTGTCCCGATGGAGCCTGGCTCCTACAGTTTATCAGCTGGGGTGGCGTGGCGTGGCAGGGGGGGGGGTGGCGCGGGGGGAGGAGAGGGGTAGGCGGCCGGCCTAGAGCAGGGGGTGAATGGGAAGACGTGTGGAGGGGCCACCACTCACTAGATTTCTCTGGCTCCCAAAGGCAGGCCACTGGCTCCCCAATCCTCTCTCTCAAGTTTCTGCCCGGTATGGTTGAAGATGGGGTGAAGGGAGAAGGACCGAGGGAGGGGAATTGAGGCAGAGGGCTCTCGGTGACTCCCCGGCAGCCCCTGCCCTGGGAGTGGATGGGTGCTCTGAGCCCATCTCCCCCACCCCAAGGAGGACCCCAAAATAGCAGCCTCGTCTCTCCCCCCAAAATAACTCTGAGACGAGTCCGTCCTGAAAGGGGAACGAAGCTGCAGAAATGGGGAAGCTGGAGCTGAAGGTCAGGAGGAGCAGAGTGCGGAGCAGTGCCCGCGTGGGCAGTGGCCCCGGGCCAGCGTGGCCGGTGCGGGGTGGGGAGGAGCCTCGCCTCGTGATGGGGAGAAGATGTGCAGAGACCCGGAGGGAACGTAGAGACAGAGCATTTTTGGAAGCGGGCCCAGAGGGTCGGTTACTTCAGCAGAACCAGCCTCCGGGCTGCCAGGGAAAGCCCCCACCGGGTCCACGGGGTGGCTGTGCAGCTGCTCCCTGCCCCACGGGGCCACAGCCCGCCCGGCTAGATCCTCTGTCCCCGTGAGAGAGGCAGACCCAGGACTCAGGCTTCATGGCTCCCAATTTCCCATACACACAGCCTGGGCTGCGCCACTTTCCTCCAACTTCTGTAAGAACCCGAGCCCCTGAGGGCAGGGTGTCGTCTCTTTTGTTCACGGCGCATAGCAGGTGCTCAGTAGATATTTGAGGAATGAGTGGAAGAGTGAAGGAACATCTCCTCCCCAGAGCTGTCCCGAGGCCTCAACGCCACGGTGTTCCGGGGCCTGGCCGGCCAGTCCCTGCGGGTGTCCTGCCCCTACAACTCCCGGGAGCACTGGGGGCGACGCAAGGCCTGGTGCCGCCAGCTGGGTGCAGAGGGCCCGTGCCAGCGGGTGGTCAGCACCCACAGCTCGTGGCTGCTGTCCTTCGTGAAGATGTGGAACGGGAGCACGGCCGTCTCGGACGACGCCCTGGGCGGCAGGCTCACCGTCACGCTGCGTAACCTCCAGGCCCACGACGCCGGCCTCTACCAGTGCCAGAGCCTCCGCGGGAGCGAGGCCGACACCCTCGGGGAAGTCCTGGTGGAGGTGCTGGCCGGTGAGTGGGCAGAGGTCCTCAGGCCGGGGCTCCTGCCTTCGGTGTCTGTGCACAGGACCCCCCCTTTGGGGCCCGGGGGCCCTGGGAATGACCCACCAAGGCCACCTCGGTGGCTGTGCGGGCTGCTCACTGCACAGGAACCATAGTCCCACCCCCCTCCTCCGTCCAGGCCACGCCCCTGCATACACCGAAGGAAGAGACCCTCTCTAATTCGCACAAGGCACCATCTGTGGTCCTGCTGCCCTGATGGGTTGGGAAGTGCACGGGTAGGGGGTCCGGAAGGAGCAGAAGGAGATTCCCAAAGTCCCTCATCCAACCACCCAGAGGATCTACCAGCACAAATTAAGCTCCAACCAGGTGCAGAGAGGGACTCTGTTCCTGGGCAACGTGCACAGCCTGTAATTCCTCATCTTTAAGTGGATGATGGTGTCCATCCTGCGGACCTAGGGCTCCTGTGAAGCTCACAGGCCATGCAGTTAAAGCTGCTGGGGGCTGGGGGGGGGCGGGGAAGAGAGGGGAAGAGTAACAGCCATGCCCCAGCCTCCAGCTGCTGAACTGCCTGGCACCCTCACTCCAGGCTTGCCCAGGTCCTCCCCACCCTGAGCTTTGCCTGGGGGATACCCTCCAAGGAAGCCTCTGCTGCAGGGGGGAGAGGAGGACAGTGGGGGGCGGGGCAGGGAGACCAAGAAGTGAGCCGACCCTAAAGGAAAGATGGGGTTACCATTCCTTTTCTGAGGCTCTTCTTCCCAGCTCCTCCTCCAGTACGTCCTTTATCATGGAAATGAGGTTCCAGGGTCCTACTTGTCTAAGGTGGGGCTCTTGGGGGTACTGCCTGCCCCAGACCCCAAGCCCCACTTTCACCACCTTTCTAAGGGGGGAGAAGGAGTAGGAGTTGAGGATATGAAATTTCAGCCTTATCTGGGTCTAAGGCCCAGCTGACTCCCTAGAGGGTAGCAGAACAATGATAATAATAATAATAGTAATAATAATCCAAGGCTGGTGGCTTGGCAGTTCACGCAGGACTTGCAAATACATCCACTATTCCGAGTGATCTTCCCAAAGACCCGAGAGTTCCTGAGTGCTGGGAGGAGGCGGGCTCTGCCAAGGATGCTGCACTGAATCCGCAGCACTGGCGTTGAGGAGGGCTGCTACCTGCCCCACTTCCCAGGCAAGGGAGCGGAGGCTCAGGGCTTAACAGCTCCATCCACACGGGCCTCACCCACCCAGGAGGTCCTCCCCCAGGTCACCGGCTCTCTCTCCACAGACCCCCTCGATGGCCAGGACCCCGGTGAGCTCTGGACCCCGGAGCAGTCCCAGGGCTTTGAGGACGCCCAGGTGGAGCACAGCGTCTCCAGGTACAGTGACAGGTCTCCCCTAAGGCCCCGCTGGCCCCGCCCAGCAGAGGGCCAGGGGGTGGGGCCTGCAGGTCCCAGGATTGGAGTCCAAGGCAGTCAGAGCATGAAGGGCCGGGATGATTCTGTCTAAACAGCTGGCAGGTTGACATGACTGCCAGGCGCTAAAACTTTGAAATTTTTCACGAGTTTGTAAACAGCCATGGCCCCAAGGATCCTGAAAGGTCAGCCCCGGCACCTCCCTGGCAGCCCCAGGACATCCCCACAATCCAGCAGCAGTGACGCTTTAGTGCTTTAGTACAAAACTGGGGTCCTTTGATGGGACCAGAATCAGTTCTGATTGGTTCCTGTCTGTGTACTGGTATTAAACATGCTAATATAACCATGGAGCACACGTGTGCCCCTCCATGCGCTCACACATCTCATACCACCCATTACGCAGGGCAGACACTGTGCAGTGGGGGAGGTGATGTGTTGCAATGCACTCGGCAGGCAGACCCGGCCTAGAACTCAGGTCTCCTGAATACAGGCTTCCCGAGCCCCACGGAGCTTCATCCCAGTAGTGGGTGGTGGGGGTGGGGGTACTCTCAGCCCCGGGAAGCTCCTGATGTCTCCCCATCCTTCTCTGAGGCCACCCCAAGGCCTCCCATGTGCCCTCCTTGTTCTCCAAGGAGCCTCCAGGAAGAGGAGATCCCCTTCCCACCCACCTCCATCCTGTTCCTCCTGGCCTGCATCTTTCTCAGCAAGCTGCTAGCCGCTAGCGCCCTCTGGGCTGCGGCCTGGCATGGGCGGAAACGGGGGACACCCCCGGCCAGTGGGCCTGACTATGGCTATGACCCAGGTGACCAGCTCCAGACTCTGACAGGTGAGTTTGGAGAGCAGTGCGGCTGGGCAGCGGGCAGAGAGGGTGAGGTGGGGAGAGGGCAAGGTGGCTGAGAGGGGTGTGTGAGGACTCCCTCCATGTGTTGCAGGGCTGAGGGACACCTGAGAGGAGAGGACCCCACGTAGATGAGATGCCTGCGGAGGTCTGCAGGGAACAGCCAGCCTGTGCACTCACCCCTCGACTACCAAGACTCCTGGTTCTGCTTTGGCAAAATACCATTTTGCCTGCACTCTGCCTCCCCGGGCCCCAAGGCTGAGTGTGTGTGTGTGTGTGTGTGTGTGTGTGTGACATGGACAGCAAACATTCTCACAAATAAAGCTGAGACTTCACATTTAACTGGCTGGTTGGGGCATCCTTAAGTTCTCTTTTGCTTCAGGGTTAGGAGAATAAATCTCAACAAGGAGAAATGGCTGTCTCATTGGGCAATCTTTCTGTTCTTCTTCTCCCTTTCCTAGAGCTACCTGCCTAGTCCTGCCTCCTCTGGAATTTCTCTGGCCTCGTCTTCCTCTCCTCTTGTCTCCTGTCCATAAGTTCCCTCGGACTACTGCTGGCCTCCCTGCCCAGGCCCTGCCTCCCTCTCCGCCCCCACCCGAGTCCATCCATCTCCCAGCTGACTCGTCCCTTCTCCCTGGAGCTGTGCTTTCATCACCCTACTTCCCCTCCAGGACTTGAGTCACAGAGGGCAGCGCCCCAGAACCGGAAACTCCTGACCAAAGTCCCTCGTTGCACAGAAGGGAAACTGAGGCTCACAAGGGCGAGGGTTACCCAGAGGTCCCGGTAGAGCCTAGAAATCCAATTGCACTTGCGTTCAAGGTGCCCTTTCCTCCAGCACAGGCATTTATTTACTCCACAGGTCTTTCCTGTGCCAGGCATTGGAGACACAGAGAAACAGAACAGGCAATGATGTCTGCCCATGAGGAGCCCAATTCTAACGGGGGGGAGAGGAGGCAGACAGGAGGCAAGTCGGTCAGCAATCAGGGATCCTGGGAGGTCCGGGCTGGTGGTTGGGACACTCTCTCCAACAGTCACAGGAGCATCACCACAGGACACAGAGATGCAGAAGAACACAGGACACGTTCACACACACACCTGTACACAGAGCTCACAACAGCACTGTTCCCAGTGGCCAACAGCAGAAATAACCCAAATGTCCACCAACTATAATAGTAAAACACATCCATACAGTGAAATATTATCTGACAATAGGAATGAAGCCCTGACACGCTACAACACAGAGGAACCTTCAAGACATGACGACCAGGGCATGCAGCCAGTCACCAAAGGGTATGATCCATTGCTGCGAAATGTCCAGAAAAGGCAAACCCACAGACAGGAAGTAGATTAGCAGTTGTTGGGGGTGGGGCGTGACTGTGCTAAGAGATGTGGGTCTTCTTTCTGGGGTGATGACAACGTCCTAAAGTTGTGAATGTCCTAAAAGCCATGGAGGGGTGCACATTGAATGTCCAACTTAAATGGGTGAAGTGAACAAAGGTGGGCAGAGGCAGCCCTGTGGGAGGTGAGGAAGTGAATCTCCCCTCCCTTCAGTACGCACACCCACCCAGGCCACGAGCAAAGGGGAGCCCTGGTCGAGACCGCCCCGGAGGGCCGCTGGGAAGGAAGGGCAAACTTCACATCCGGGGCCAGAGATGTGCCCTCGGCCACGTGGCTGCTTTGCCCCTAACCTGGGCTGCGCGCCTGGGGTTCTGAATCCCTGATGCGGACTCAGAGCCCAGCCCCGCCCGCTCCCCACAAGGCGGCTCCACTGGTCCCATCTGTTTCCCTGGCCTCTGACTCTACAGGTAACTTCCTCTTCACGTCCCCAGGCAGGGCAGGACAGAACAGACCCAGTGGAGCCCAAACTGAGCCTGGTTCCACCTCTCGGCCACCCCACCCCACCCCAGCACCAATGAGATGGCAGGGAGGCTGCCCCGAGGGCTGGCCTGGGGCCTGGCACAGGCGAACCTCTCCTCACCATTGGGCTCTCTAGGGGCACACTGTGCTGAAGACGGTCAGGTACTTTGGTTTCAAACTTCAGTAGGAAACTTTAAGCAAGTTCCTAACTCCTGAGGCTCAGGGTCCTTTTCTACTGAAAGCCAAACAAGTACCCACCTGGCGACAAAATGATATGGAATGTAAACTGCAAGTGAAAAATAAAATTTAAACAAAACGAACCACCCCACCTTCCCCAGGGAGGGAGGAGAGGACGGAAGCAAACCTCATTGGAGCTGAGACTGTCTCTCGGTGTGTCTGTCACCCACTCACCCGGACACCCTAGCCGGGCCCTCGCTCAGGAGGCCCAGGCCAGGCAGGAACAGGAGCATCTTTACAAAGAGCTGGCTCCCCAGCAGAGAGGGGAGTGCATTCCTGAGACAAAGTGTGACTTACTGAAGACCTGCTTGGAAAACAGGAAATCTGGTGAATGAAGAAGACTAAAAAATAAAACTTTAAAAGCCAGTGATAGAAGAGATGGAAGAAAAAAATAAGGCTATCTTTCAGAAATCAGAATGAAATGGACCAAAAGAGAAGGAAGATAAGAGAGAAAGGGTATAAAAATGAGATGAATGCATTGGGTTCCATATCCAACCAATTAAGGAGTTCCAGAAAGGAAAAAAAAAGGGGGGGGGGGAGAGAGAAAACAGAGAAGTAATTATCAAAGAAATAATACTCTTCCCAGAAATGAAGCAGTGGGCCACAGTGAAAAGGTCTCTCATCGGAATAAACAAGACAGGCCCCGCCCACATCAGGTGGGACTTCCTGCCGTGAGGTGGGACCTCAGGAGAAGGACAATCGCCTGAGAGCTGGGGTGGGGACACTCACACAGAAATTAGGACCAGAAGGTCTGAGACCCTGGGAAGGACACTCCCTCCGTCCATAAGTTCCCTCGGACTACTCTGCATCTCAGATTCTGCATCCTCCCAGCTCTGCATCCTCAGATTCTGTATTTGGAGGACCCCAAAGTTATCTTTCCTCCTTCCCTAACGCCCTCCAGCTGCCTTTATCTTCCTCCTTATTCCTTAGCTGGGCCCAGCCTGCCCTGCCCAGCCGGGCCTTCGGGGTCCGTCCCTGAGCACTGAGCCAACCAGGGTGAGGAGGCACTCCTTATCCCCACCCATGGAGGCCCCTCCAGCGTCTGTCTCCCACGCCCTGGTCACCGAGAGCCCCACGTGACCGAGGCAGATGTTTCCTGTCCCAGGGGAGTGCTGTGTCAGTGCCCAGCAAGGCCCCGGCCCACATCTCCCAGCCCAGCGATGGCTCCCAACCTGCTCCTGCTGCTGCTCCTGGGACTAGCAGGTGAGGTGCAGAAGCTGCCGAGTTCTGGGCCCCTTCCAACCTGCTCCATGCCTAGAAACAATTGACGTGATTGTGGCAACAATCTGTGTGTAAGGCCCTGAGGGGTCCCTGCACCCCTCAGACAGTGGGTGGGCTGGGAGGTTCCCCCACCGCCTCCCTAACATCCCCTCTTCCTTTCCCTCCCCAGGCCAGGGCTCCGCGGACGGCCACTCCGAGGTGCTGCGGGCGTGGGTGGGCGGCTCCGTCCAGGTGCACTGTCTCTACCGACCCCAGGACAGCCGGGCCCGGAAGGTGTGGTGCCGCTTCCTGATGGAGAGGTGCCAGCCCTTGGTGTCCTCGGCGGTGGACCGCAGAGACCCGGGGCACAGCCACATCTTCCTCACGGACCTGGGGAGTGGCCTGCTGCAGGTGGAGATGACCTCCCTGAGGGAGGAGGATGCTGGGGAGTACGGCTGCGTGGTGGAGGCCGACGCCGGGCCCCAGATAGTGCACAGGGTGTCCCTGGAGGTCCTCCCGGAAGGTGAGTCACCTACCCCACATCGCCAACATCACCGCACCTCAGACCTGCCCTCTCCACTCCCACCTGCGGCCCCTGGGTCCTTGAGGGTGAGGGCACTGCTGGGGGAGAGGACTTGGGAGGAGACATCTTTCTAACAGCTCCGCAGGGAGCGGAAACCAACTGGGTGAGCATCTGAGATAAAATGGCCAGGGCAGCCCCTCCCCCTCCTGCACAGGCGGGTCCCCCAGGAAGGCGTGGCCTCTTCCGCACCCAAAGCCGGGCCTCCTGGGCTGGCATTCCAAGAAGGATGAGATTTTTTTGTTGTTATTTTTTTGTTTTGTTTTGTTTACAGAAATGTTTTAAGCAGAGTTTTAATTCAGGCGTATCAACTTGAATTACTCTTTTATATCATCCAGGTGTTGTTTTTTTTTTAAATTTCTGTAAGAATGGGTTAGATGGCCTGAAATAGCTCACTTAATTCTCTAAGTCTGTCCTCACAGAGCACCCAGCACCTGCTCACGCACAGGCGGGGCACAGGCAATGCCTCAACTGCCCCTACCCATCCAGTCCTAAAGTGTCCTCAGTATTTAAGCTGATATTCTCAACCCTAATGTCAGCAGGGAAAGCTCTTTATTTTTATAGATTTAATTCACAAAGCCTGCAGCGATCTAACATCGAAGCATTGATTTAAAGAACAATTTAAAGTGTTAAATTTCTCCCCAGTAAGAGAGGCTGTTGTGGCCGGGACCGGTTTGGCTTAATGGATAGAGCGTCGGCTTGGGGACTCAAGAGTCCCGGGTTCGATTCCGGTCAAGGGCATGTACCTTGGTTGCGGGCATATCCCCAGTAGGGGATGTGCAAGAGGCAGCTGATCGATGACTCTCTCTCATCGATGTTTCTAACTCTCTATCTCTCTCCCTTTCTCTCTGTATAAAATCAATAAAAAAAAAAATATATATATATATATATATATATATATATTTTTTTTTTTTTTAAAGAGAGGCAGTTATGAAAAAGCCGTTGGGAGGGGAAATGGCCAGCCAGCAGCTGCTGAGGCAGAGACTGCTGCTGGCCATCGCTCATGGCTGTGGATAGGTGTTCCCCGCCAGTGCCTCCTTTTCTCAGTATTTTGTGCTGATCCCCAAATGACAACATGAAGAAAGGTATCTCCCTTCTCTGCTTTCCCCATCTATGAATTAAGAAGGTGATGAAGTTGCCCGGAGGATCCCTCCTCGCTGGAGTCCATAATCACCGTTTCCTGTTATAAATACACTCCTGTCCATCCTCGTCTCCTTTGTCCCCTCCTTCCCGACACGCTGAGGTCTGGGAAGTAAGGGTTATAACTCCTCTGTTGGGACAAGATGGGAGGCAGTGGAAGAGTGACAGGGAGGCGGGACTGCAGTGGCAGGTGTGGCTTGACAGCACAGTGAAGGCTCTAGAAGGACTGGCCAGGCTCCCGAGGCAGATCACCAGGCTCAGAGGAGCCAGAGCTACCTCCCTCAGTGGAGCACGCTGTCACCAAAATGAGTCTCGGGGACCGATCAGGTCCCCCAGCAAGGTCCAGTGGCATGTTTCACCTTAGGGCTGACCCTGGAGTTCCTCAGACCCTGAGGGCAGAGCCTGGAGGTGGTCTGCAGGGGCCACAAGGTGGCAGGGTGTGGAGCGGCCTCGCAGGCTAGGCGGAGCCTGTGGAGAGCCATGCCGGGGAAGCGGTGGGCGTGAGCAGAGGGGAAGTGGCATATCCACGGTCAGGTGAAGCATAGGAATGCCACCCCCCTGGCACCCAGAGTGCATGCCCCTAAGGAACACCCCAGCCCTTCTTTCTATTCCATTCTCCTCAGTGCCCCCTGCCCCCTGTCCCCCACTAGCTCTCACCGCTCACCCCCACAGGACCATGAGCCCTGCCCACAGGGGGGGTGTGCTCACTAAATATTCCTCCTGACTCAACTCCTGGCCTGACAGAGGAAGAGGACTTCCACAAGGTTGACAGTGAGACTGATGACCCCTCCTCATACCCCCTCAGCAGTGCCAGCCCTCTGCCCAGCCAGCATGAGACGAGGTACAGACGGGACCCTGGGTGGCTGGAACCAGGGTGGAGGTGGGCTAACAGCTCGTTCAGAGCCCCAGAGGAAATCAAAGGGAACCCCATGCTTCCTTTCTTTCCTGGGGAACTTCTGATCAGGTAACTAGACAGACAGACAGACAGACAGACCTCTTCATTTGGTTCAACAACAGTCCCTTCATCCCTCGGGGTACACAGCCATCGTCCCTCCATAATGTCTCTAGTCTGCCCTACCCGAGCCTGCCCTCCTCACTCCATTCCAAAAACCTCCTTCTCCCAACCATGGCCCACCAGGGACTGCCCCTGAGCCACTGCTCAGGAGTCCTGGCCAGCAGCTCCCAGCCAGGTCAGGGCCAAGCTCACCGGTACCTTCGTGTCCCATAGCATCCCCTTGATCTGGGGCTCCGTGCTCCTGCTGAGCTTGCTGGTGGTGGCAGGAGTGCTATTTGCTGTGATGGCCAAAAGGAAAGGTAGGTGGTGGTCCATTCATCTATCCCAGCGTGGCCCCCGGGGCCTGTCAGCCGGTCTTGTAGACAAGGCCAGGAATCTAGGTAGGTCTACCCCTACAGAGGCAGTGGCCAGGTCGTCAGACTCAGGAGTTCCCATGGCTGAGGGTGGAGGGGAGGAAGGAGTTCAGTGGGAGCAGGCCTGGGGGAAACAGGCACTGGAGAGAGTGGGGGAGTGGGGCCGGGGACAGGGGACTGGAGAGGTGGGGAAAGGGCTGTGGAGTTAGGGGGAGTGTCCAGGCAGGTTTGGCGGGAGCTGAGGAAGCAGCAGGTGGCTGGCAGTCAGGGCAGGCTGGGCGGGGCTGTGGGTCGGAGGGGTAAAGGTTCAGTGGTGGGAGTGGGGAAGGTGAGCCTGACGTTTCTGTGGGGGTGAGGGCTGGGCTCTGAGCCAGCACAGGGGGCAGACTGTGCTGCTGTCCTCTATGTTACCAGGGAACAGGCGTGGTGTCCCTGGCCAATCCCAGCGCAGCGGAGGTCCAGGCATGGTAAGAGGAGGCCCCTGCCGGCTCCCAGCCAATTCCCCCAGGCTGTCCGCCAGCCACGCTCAGAGAGGTCCCAGGTTGATGGGGTGGAGGGAGGACTGGGACCCAGAGGGCGTCCAAACAAACCATTTTCCTAACGGTCCTTTGAAAATCCTTCGTCCTGCCAAGGAATAGCATTGATGGATGGTCCCACCTTCCCAGACTTGGGGAGAAACTTGGGACTTGAAAATCTTCAAGGAGTCCTCTTGCCTGCTGACATATTCCAGAGACAGAGGCAGCACATCCTCGGCTTCGCCCAGGGAGCTGGGGCTGAGGGAGGCGTGCTCTGCCCGGCTTGCCTGCTTTTTCGCAGGCGCTCTCCCCAGCGGTCCGCACCGATGACTCTGGACTGGCTCTAGACGTGCCGTCGGACGTACCGTACACCAGGCTGGACTCGCCACCTTCCTTTGACAACACTACCTATAGCAACCTCTCCCTTGAGCCCCCGTCAAGGAAACCCCAAGCCCCAGCTCCATCCTCATCACCCCCTTTGCCTCCTGAGGTCCTGAGCTGCTCCAACCCTGTGATGTATGCCACAGTCATCTTCCCTGGAGGGGGGAGGGGGGGCAGGCCCACCCAAGAGCCAGCGCAGGATCCCCCTCATGGCCAGACTCTGCCCAGCTGAGATGCTCACCACACTGTGTGCTCACAGAGACCACAGGTTCTTTCTGTGCATCCACCAGCCAGCCCGTGCCCTACATCCTCAGTGTATCAGGGCAAGTAGGGACTTTAGGGTCCAATCTAACGACTCAATTTTTGACCTGCAAGGCGATGATGGGTGTGACCTGGGTCTCTTGGGGAAGCATCCCACGCTGGCGCCTCTGCCATGACACCACTGAGCTAAATAAACTCTACATGATGACCTGTGCGCTCTTGATGGTTGAGGGGAAAGGAAGGGCCTGAGTTTGACTACTTAAGATGGCCTGTGGACTGAAAAGATGCAACTTGGTGCTGTGTGATCTCCTGTCTGTCCTGCCAGGGGGCGGGGGCTTCATTCCCCGCTCTGGACATGGCAGTGCAGTTGAAATCAAGAGGTACAAAGAAGGCTTTTTCAAAAAAGTATTTCCTGCCTTTCTCATGAAACCTGAGAGTAAATTTTCATTTCCTTGAGGTTAGACATCTTTTCTGCTCCTGCCGTACACCTTGCAAACAAGTGACATCTTCTGATGTGACAATGTATGAGAGGAGGGGGATGATGATTAAAGGAGACTCAGGACAGACGGAGGTGTGAGAGAGGGGGCTGAAAAGAAGCAGGAATAAGGACAGAAATGGAAATAGGTATCAGTATTATTCCTGGATTTTCAAATGCCAGGAGAGAAGGATCTGTGCGGACCTTGAGCAGAGCTGCCTCTCTCTCTGGGTGGCTATCCAACACTATACCCTTTGGCCAGAACTCGGGAGCTTGGGAAGAGCCCAGTGGAGAAAAGGCATGGGGGAGGGAGGGAAGTGTGGATGGTAAGGCTGTGGTCATGGTTAAGTATAAATGAAAGCTAATCTAGGCCTTTAAGATCTCTGCTAGGATTTCTCTTGAAACAGTTCAAGTTGAAAAACATTTGCCCATATTGAGATGAGAGACTTAAGTGGAGAGGAGGAATCCACTGGTCTTATAATCATGGAGAGCTAGGCATGAAGAGTTGCCACCATCTGGAGGGGCCCTAGCTTGGTCTAGGCACCTCAGGAGAAGGGACAGAGCAGGCTGTGCCCTGGGCTCCAGCTGTGTAAGCCCAGTGGTGCTATTTTGGGGGAGCTCTGGCAGGATGTTCTGAGTGTCCCTGATAGAGTCTGATCTGTGACAGAACCTAAATTTACTTCTGACCCTTGTGGAGGAAACAGTCCACCAATCAATAAAGCCCTCATTGTTCCCTGGCTAAGATGACTGAGGACTTGCCATGTCGGGGGAGAATGAGGAGGAAGGGCAGAAAGAAGCCTAAAAAAGAACGCTTCTGGATAAAACTTACCCTGACCTAAATGTATTTTGAACTTTTCATAACCTGACAGAAGCAAAAGCATATTTAGCAGTACAAGGGTAAAATACTAAGGAAGAGGATCAACTGGCTGGGTGAGAAGAGGGAAGGAGAGAAGGGAAATACATTAATTCTATCCTTGCTCATAAAGAAATTAAAATTAAATTAAATTAAAAGTACCTATTTAATATAACAAAAGACAGTGGTGAAATAAGATAAATAGAAAACATATGATGGCAGACATAAATCCTATCTTATGGGTAATTACATTGAATGTAAACAGATTAAACATTCCAATTAAAAGACAAATATTGGCAGATGAATTAAAAACTACATGATCCAACTATATGCTGACTAAAGGAGACAAATATTAGGTTAAAAAACACATATTAGTTAGAAGTAAAAGGATGAAAAAACATCATGCAAACTAGTTAGAGAGTTGGAGTGACTATATTAATATCAGATCAAATCGATTTTAAAAATTTTTACCAGTGACCAAAGAAATACAGTTTCTAATTATGTTGGAGTCAATCCATCAAGAAGATATCTATAACAGTAAAAGTGTAATATGATAATTAGACTGGACAGCCAAATGATCTTCTGGACGCCATTCTGGAAGTTCTTCAGGACGAAGCTGCAGCAGTGGGGCCAAGGCAGAGGTGGTTAGGGGCGATCAGGCAGGAAGGTGAGCAGTTAGGGGTGATCAGTCAAGGAAGGGAGTGGTTAGGGGCAATTAGGCAGGTATTCGAGTGGTTAGGGATAATCAGATAGGCAGGCAAGCAGTTAGGGGAGATCAGGCAGGCAGGTGAGTGGTTAGGGGTGATCAGGCAGGAAGGCAAGCCAGCAGTTAGGAGCCAGTGGTCCTGGTTTGTGATCAGGCCTAAACTGGCAGTGGACATCCCCTGATTGTGAGAGGGTGCAGGCTGGGGCAAGGGACCCCACCCCGTGCATAAATTTTGTGCATCTGGTAATAATATAAATATATGTTTCTAACAAAATTTCAAAATACTTAAAGCAAAAACTGACAGAACTGAAGGGAAAAATAGACAAACAGTAATAGTTGTAGTCTTCAAAATCCCATCCTATCTAATAAAGAGGAAATATGTTAATTGACTGTCACACCCTCACAAAGATGGCAGTGCCCACAGCCAATAAGGAGGAAGTATGCTAATTGAATACCGCACCCTCAAATATGGCGGCACCCAGTTCTTTGCCCCAGGGGAACAGGCATGAGGTATGGCCACGCCCACCCCCAGGTGGGTCTGGCCACTTCACACACCTGCCTCCAGACTCCCCCAGTCCCTTCAGCCCTCCAGGTACAGGCTTACCACCCAATGCCTAAGACACAGGTAAGCCTGAGGCTGAGGTTACCAGAGCCAGCCGAAGCTTGAGCTGCCAGCAGTGGCAGCAGCAGAGGTGTTATGGAGGTGTCGCCTTCCCCTGATCTCTGGGTTGCCTCCTGCCCCTGAGGGCTCCCAGATTGTGAGACGGAGTGGGCTAGGCTGAGGGATGCGAGCTCCCTCCCCCCATTCCAGTGCATGGACTTTCATGCACCAGGCCTCTAGTTTTCAATAATGGATAAAACAAGTTAAGTGGAATAGCAACAAGGTAATAGTAGATGTGAACATCATAAATTAACTAGACCTAGAAGACATCTATAAAACACTCTAACAACAGCATATGTATGCAGTATTCTCCAGGAGAGATCATATGTTTGACCATAAATAAGTCTCAATAAATTTAAAAGATTGAAATCATACAAAGTATGTCTTCTGACCACAATGGAATGAAGTTATAAATGACTTTGGAAACTAATAAATATGTAAAACATTAAAACATTTCTAAATGCCTTGGACAGGTAGCTCAGTTGGAGTGTCATCCTATACACTAAAAGGTTGTGGGTTTGATTCCCAATCAGGGCATATACCTAGGTTGTATGTTCCATTCATGGTTGGGAGGTAACTGAGCAAAGTTTCCCTCTCACACCTATGTCTCTCTGTTTTTAAGACCCATTGAAAAGATCAACAAAACTAACAAATTTAGTCGACTGGCCAAGAAAAGAAAAAAAGACTCAAATTACAAAATTAGGAATGAAAGTGGAGGAAGAACTACTGATCTTATGAAATACAAAAGGATTATAAAGAATAGTATGAATAACTGTATACCAACAAATTAGATAACTAGATCAGTGGTCGGCAAACTGCGGCTCGCGTCCCACATGCGGCTCTTTGGCCCCTTGAGTGTGGCTCTTCCACAAAATACCACGTGTGGGCGTGCACATACAGTGTGATTGAAACTTTGTGGCCCATGCGCAGAAGTCGGTTTTCGGCTCTTAAAAGAAATTTCCATCGTTGTACTTTTGGTATTTGGCTCTATTGACTAATGAGTTTGCTGACCACTGTCCTAGATGAAATAGACAAATTCCTAAAAAGACACAAATTACTAAAACTTACTCAAGAGGAAATAGAAAGTCTGAATAGACTAGTAACAAGTTGAGGTTTAATTAATTAAAAAAATTCCTGCAAGGAGAAACCCAGGCTCAGATGGCTTCACTGGTGAATTTTACCAAATACTGAAAGAATTTTAAAACCAGTCCTTTACAAACTCTTCCAAAACATACAAAATAAAGGAATACTTCCCAACTCATTTTATGAAGCCAGTTTTACCTTGATGCACAAACTAGACAAAGATCATAAGAAAACATCCCTCATGAATGTAGACCCCCAAATCCTCAAAAAAAAAAAATACCACAATAAAAGAAGATGGAGAAACAAATAGAAAAGATTACTAAAAACCACATGGTCATTTCAATAGATGAAGAAAAAGCATTTGACAGAATTCAACACTCTGTTATGATTAAAAAAAAAAAACATTCAACAATCTAGCAGGAAATTTTTTTTTTAATTTTTTAAATATATTTTATTGACTTTTTTCAGAGAGGAAGGGAGAGAGATAGAGAGCTAGAAACGTCGATGAGAGAGAAACATCGACCAGCTGCCTCTTGCACACCCCCAACCGGGGATGTGCCCGCAACCAATGTGCATGCCCTTGACCGGAATCGAACCTGGGACCCTTCAGTCCGCAGACCGATGCTCTACCACTGAGCCAAACCGGTTTCGGCAGGAAATTTTCTTAACTTGATAAAAAGGCATCTACAAAAACTCACAGCTAACACCATGCTTAAAGCTTTCCCCCTAAGACTGAGAACAATAAGAATGTTAATTCTTGCCACTTGTATTCAACATTGTATTAGAGATCTTGCCACTTGTATTCAACATTGTATTAGAGGTCTAGCAAGTGCAATCAGGCAAGAAAAGGAAATAAAAGACATCCAGATTGGAAAGGAAGAAGTAAAATTATCTCTATTTACATAACATGATCTTGTACGTAGAAAATTCTAAGGAATCCACAAAAAAAACTTAGAGTTAGTAAATGAGTTCGGAAAAGTTTTAGGCTACAAAATCAATATATAAAAATCAGTTTTATTTCTAGAATAATCCAAACCTAGGAGTCTGGGTAAGGAGGCCTGAGGAGTGACTACTAATGGGCACTGAGTTCCTTACTTGGGGTGCTACCAATGTTCTGGACTTAGTGGCGAAGGTTGCACAGTGTTGTGATGTACTAAATTGCACACCTTGAAAGGGTGAATTTTATCTCAATA